TTTTGCTGTATCCCATAGGTTTTGGTAGCTTGTGTCTTCATTATTGTTATACTCAAGGAAGTTAATGATTTCTTTTTTAATTTCTTCCTGCGCCCAACTATCATTCAACATAAGGTAACTTCCATGCCTTTGTGTGAGGTTTATTGCTGGAGTTGAGTTCCACTTTTAGTGCCTTGTGGTCTGAAAAGATGCAAGGTAGAATTTCAATTCTTTTGATTCTGTTGAGGTTTGTTTTGTGTCCTAGAATATGATCAATTTTGGAGAATGTTCCATGGGACGATGAGAAGAATTCTTTATCTTTGAGAAGAAGTGTTCTATATATGTTTACTAAGCACAGTTGTTCTAGGGTCTTATTTCAATCTCTAATATCTTTGTTTAATTTCTGTTTGGAGGATCTGTCCAGCTCTGAAGAGAGGGGTGTTAAAATCCCGTTATTGTGGTGTTATAGGATGTCATATTGCTCAGACTAAGCAAGGTCTGTTTCAAGAATTTGGGGGCATTTAAATTGAGTGCATAAATATTTTGAATTGAAATGTCTTCTTGTTGTATTTTTCCCTTGACCAATATGAAGTGACCATCATTGTTTTTTGTAACATTAATTGCTTTAAATCCACATGTATCTGAAAATAAGATTGCAACCCCTCTTTTCTTCTGACTTCCATTTGCCTGAAAGATTGATTTCCAACCCTTAACTCTGAGTTTTAATTTGTCTTTCGACATGAGGTGTGTTTCCTGCAAACAGCAAATAGATGGCTTGTGTTTTTATATCCAATCTGCCAATGTATGCCTCTTCAGCGGGGAATTCAAGCCACTGACATTTATTGAGATAATTGACAAGTGTGGTTGTGTTCTATTCATCTTATTTTGTGAAAACCCATTGCTTAGTTTTATCTTTTGCATCATTGTGGAAACTAGGTTCTGTCCATTAATTTCTGGGTGTTTACTTTGCTGAAGGTCCATTGTGATGGTCAGTGGTCCATTGTGGGACAGGTTGAAATATTTCCTGTAAAGCTGGTCTTATAGCAAATTTCCTCAGTGTTTGCATAGCAACAAAAGATTTGACTTCTCTGTCAATTTTAATGCTTAGCATAGTGGGATACAGAATTCTGGGCTGGAAATTGTTCTGTTTAAGTAGGTTAAAGATAGACGACCATTGTCTTCTAGCTTGAAAAGTTTCATTAGAGAAGTCCGTGGTCACCCTGATAGGTTTGCCCCTGTAGGTCAGTTGGCACTTACTCCTGGCAGCCTGCAAAATCTTTTGTCTTGACATTAGATAAATTCATCACAATATGCCTCGGAGAAGGTCTATTTGAGTTGAGGTGACCAGGGGACCGATATCCCTCTTAAATGATTATGACAGAGAGTGATATTTGGGAAATTTTCATTTATAATATTCTCTAGTATGGCTTCCATTCCTCTGGGGCATTCTTCTTCCCCTTCTGGGATACCTATAACTCATATGTTTGAATGCTTCATAAAAGTACCACAATTCTATCAGTGCTTTCTATATCCTTTTCAGCCACTTTAACTATCTGAGTTTATCTCAAAAGCTTTATCTTCTACCTCTGAGATTCTTACTTCAGCATGGTCTAATCCAGGGGTCCTCAAACTTTTAAAACAGGGGGCCAGTTTACTGCACCTCAGACTGTTGGAGGGCCAGACTGCGGGCCCCAGAATGATTCAGCTGCTAAGCAGGACAGGCAGCAGTGGCAAAAACACCCGGCAGGCCGGATAAATGTCCTGGGAAGACTGCATGTGGCCCAAGGGCCATAGTTTGAGGACCCCTGGTCTAATGTGTTGTTAATACTGTCTATTGTATCTTTGAGTTCCCTAATTGACTACTTCATTTTCTTCAGCTCTGCTCTATCTTTTCTGTATTCTTCATATGGTTCATCTCTTATTTGATTCTGTTTTTGAATTTTCTTTTGGTTATTATCCACTTTCTCAGCAATTTCTTTCATTGTTTTTTGATTATTTTCCACTTTCTCAGCAATGTCCTTCATTATTTTCATCACATGTATTTTAAATTCCCCTTCTGTCATTTCTAACATTTCTTTATAGGAGAAATCCTGTGCTGTAGCTACCTCACGATCCCTACAAGGGGTTACTCTGGACTGGCAGTTCATGTTGCCAGGATTTTTTTGCTGATTCTTCTTCACGAGTGTTTTCTTATATCTGTTTCTTTACCCTAATTTCCCTTTCATTTCTTCTTGTTCTACATTATTATGCCGCTGGCCTAAAGTTTTAATGAGTCCTTTTGGTGCAAGACTAGAAGGATGAGAAGACTGAAGAGTAAGAAGGGAAAAAGATTTAAGAAAAATAAATAAAAAGAGAGAGAAAGAAGAGGGGGTGAATAAAAGGAAGTATTGACAAAAAGAAGAAAGGCACCAAAAGAAAGAAACAGGAGTAATATAGGTGTATATAGGGTACTATGACCCACCCTTAAAGACCCCCAACCTCTGCAGGTTCCAGGTTGGGTTATTCCCTTGAAGTCAACAGCTCTTGGCCAGCTGGCTCAGACACAGTACCCTACCTCCACCAGGTAGAGAGGAAAGACAAAAATACTATAAATCAAACCATAACAAGCAAGCAAAAACCCTAACAGGATAAAATTGGGGCAAAAAAACAAATAATAGGGGCAGACACACTGGCAAAAATGAAAGTAATTATTAAAGAAGGCAAAAATGGAAGATTGTATTTAAATAAAAAAAAAAGAAAAAGAAAAAAGTAAAAAAAATGTTGAAATTAAAAACAAAAACAAAACCCAAAACCAAAAAAACAAATAATATATATATCTTGGCAAATACTGTCTGGGCAACAGGTGATCTGGGGAATGAGAAGTTAATCTCAATGTTGAAACAGCTGTACAAGATGGAGACTAGAGGCCTCAGATGATTTCACAGACCCTGCAGGCTTAAAAGCCCAAATGTCTCCTCAGGCCACTTAAAAGACACTCCAGACCAGGTGTCCTCAAACTTTTTAAACAGGGGGCCAGTTCACTGTCCCTCAAGATTGTTGGAGAGCCGACTGCAGGCCCTGGGACAAGTTGGCTGTTAAGCAGGACAGGCAGTGGTGGCAAAAACACCCGGCAGGCCGGATAAATGTCCTTGGTGGGCCACATGTGGCACGTGGGCTATATATAGTTTGAGGATGCCTGCTCCAGACCATGAACCTTGGCCCAACAGAAGCTTTCCAAGGAAAGCACTTATCCCTGGGATCTCTCCTGGTGTGGCTGCCTTCTTATCCAGTGTGCCAAATCCAGTTTTCCTCAATGCCCCTGAGGGCCAAGGCTGTTAATCTGCCAAACACTTGGATCTCCGCACTTCCCCAGCATCTCAGCCCTCGCCTTTGGACAGTTCAGTCACTAGATTACTCGCCCAAGGTCTCCTGGCTGATCCTTATGCTGCAAGACGCAGGGGCAGCTCCCCCATAACTGCTGTGAGGGCAGCCCACAGCTGAACGGCATTAGCTCCTTACCAGCTCAGCAACTCAGTCTGGAGCCCCAGACAGTGCCCAAAGTCATCCACACACTGGCCCAAGGTCTCCCAAGGCAGTTCAATGGAATGCCCAAATCCAGAAAAACCAAAACAGCCCCCAGGCAAGGCTCTTGCTATAGGTAAAACTGCAGGCAGCCTCTGACTGAACAAATGGGCACCTACTACTTGCCGGTTCTCCACCGCTTCTGACCTCCTCATGCGGTCCAGAAGTCTCTCGCTGACTTCCTGGATCACCAGAGGACAGCCTCTGGGCAAAACCCACTGGCCAGAGATGCCTGGAGTCTTCACTCCCCACTCTCACTGCATCCGGTTACACAGAAGTTGCTACTCGGCCACCATCCTGATTAGATCTCCCCCTATAAAGTTTTGTTCTCAGGCCAATGTCACACTCAGGCTTCAAGTGTTCTACTCTATTTTTAGAGACAGGGTCTTGCTCTTGCTCAGGCTGGTCTCAAACCCCAGAGCACAGGTGATTTACCCGCCTCAGCCTCCCTGAGTGCTGGGATTACAGGTGTAAGCCACCACAACCGGCCCAAATGCATGGTTTAATAACTGAATTGAAAACTATTATCACTGGCAAACACAGCAGCTGAGTGTTTATGAGGTGCCAGGCACTGATCTAACTGCTCGATAAGAACTGACCTCATTTAATGACTATTTTCATAACCTATGTAAAAATGTATGTTCAGTTCTCCTTTGCTATCTCATCTCTGGGTTGTATTTGTGGTGCTCTCTGCTGGAATTCTTTATCCACAACATAGGCTAATTTCTACTTGTCCCTCAGATCTCAGCTTAGATGTCTCTTACTCTTGACACGTTCCCTAAATCCTCAGTCCATGTTTGACAGGTCTGTTGCCCCAATTACCTGTTCCTACAGCATCCATGATGGCACAGTGGTTAAGCATGGTCTCTCCATTCAAATTCTGGCTCTCCTTTACTAACTGCAGGGCTTGAACAACTCAAAATCTTTCTGTTAACAGTTATCTCATTTATAATATGGGAATAATATTTCTTGTCTCGTAGGCTTGTGTGGGAATCCAATTAATATACAGACAGTATTAAGATTTCCTGGCACATGGTAAATATGTAAGAGGTTTTCATTATTGGCACTATGCTGGATTTATCCTGTCATACCATTAATCACTTTTTGCAGTTTAGTGGGTGTCTCTTTCTTTCAGTACATTTTAATTAACTTCAGGTAATTAAAGGCAAGGAGAAAAGGTTCTTGTCCACTACTGTACTGCCAGCACCAACCAACGTACCATTAGGGTATAAGTTATATAATGAATGAACTTACTTAGAATATTCACTTGTGTAAAATAACTTATGATGACAGGTAAATGAAACTATTATTTTAATAGGGTATCATACTAAGCCATATAGATATACTGAAAAGAAGGTAACCATTTTTTTTTTTTTAGAATTAACCAAAAAAATTCTATACTTGCTTTCACAACAGAGTGTCCCTAATAAAGTTGTTATAGGAAAGAGTCATTAACATACCTGGCTCAGAGCTACAATGCATTTAGTATATTAAAGCAGCTGACATGATGACTTTTTGCGAGGCTTCCCAGGCACTGGAGTTTTTCTGTTAATTTGCCGCACTAGGTCATAAAAGATCTGCAAAAATATTCATTTAAAAAAAAATTTATGGTGAAAAAAATTTAAAAAGCAAAGAATGAAAAAGTAAAATGAAAAACTAGTGATTTTCATGTATATAAATGTGAATTCCCAGAAAGCAACTCTTCTGTCCAGCTAATGAATGAGTAAAACCAGGTGTTTTACTGCCACTTGCCCAGTGCTTTTTTGCTTATTTGGGGGGATGATTCTTCTTAAATATGCAGTTGAAAGAACTGCAGAATCTTATCTTAGTTCAATTAGAATATTTACCATCACACAAAGAAAAACATCCTTTACTCTTCTCCACATCTTTTTATGTTTTTATTCTATAAAATGACTTTAAGCCCCTTTAAGAACCATGCATGCCCTTTTAAATTTTAGTCCCTTTTATTAAGCATTTTATTATACTCTGGATACCTGAGGACTTTAAGATTTTTTCTTGCCAATAAGATCAACATATCACTTTGAGTACATATCAACGTGGGGTTACTTCAATAAACATTTTTTCCAATAATTGTGAATGTTGTATTCCAAATAGAGAGCTATGTTAAGCACATATGACCATACCTCATTAACATTTATTTTTGATTTTGCAGAAGACTCTAAGAATGCACAGTTGTTCCACTGTCTTGCTAGATTTTGACCTTGTTCCTTTCCTACAACTCTTTCATCTTCCAAGTCACACTTATTACCGACCAGAATCATTGGAACCTAAAAATATATTTGTGAGGGTAAAAAATAAGTAAATATGCTATATAAATTCCAATCAAAACAATTTTAAAAGGCAAGCCTAAGGATTACTTTTTACATAAGATGCCAAATAAAAATACTAAATTAATTATGTGTAATAGAATATAGTTAAAACATGAAAGTCTTAACAACATTAATTTGTACAACAAACAGTATTGGCTTTCATATCAGGTACACTGCCAGTTGTCTCCACTGCCTTCTCTTCTCAGGGAGATGTCAAACGATAATTCCAGAGGGAAGAAAACAGAAAAAGATACCAAGCTATGACCTACTTGTGAAAGAGTGGAAAAAAACCTTAAAATTGTATTACAATGGACTTATAACTAATTATAGTAAGTAAAACATATAACCTTTCAAGAAGGAAGTATGACAGGGTGGTAGTGTGAAAAGCCAATATACTTCAACATTTTTCTTTTTTGAGACAGAGCCTCAAGCTGTCCCCCCAGGTAGAGTGCTGTGGCATCACAGCTCACAGCAACCTCCAACTCCTGGGCTCAAGTGAGTCTTCTGCCTCCCAAGTAGCTGGGACCACAGGCGCCTGCCACAATGCCCGGCTATTTTTTGGTTGCAGCTGTCTTTGTTATTTGGCGGGCCCAAGGTGGATTCGAACTTGCCACCTTAGCTGTATGTGGCTGGCACCTTAGCCACATGAGCCACAGGTGCCAAGCCTACACTTCAACATTTAAAAATGTTTCTCTAAAGTGTTAATCAACCTCAAGTTTTCTCATTTCTTGACATTCATTTATCAGATAAGCATTCTTAACTGCACAACGCAAATAAGAGAAATTTGGGAAGTATACACAATGGAATATTAAGCTTCTCTTATATTAAAAAGCCAAAAAATTAAATTAAATTTAATAAGATCAAGAACACTTATTAATGGCATAATGTAGGTGAATTATGCAAAGTTCATAATTTTAAGTAAAAGAATACTATGGGAGGGGGCGGCACCTGTGGCTCAGTGGGTATGGCACTGGCCCCATATACTGAGGGTGGCGGATTCAAACCTGGCCCTGGCCTAACTGCAACAACAACAAAAAATAGCTGGGCATTGTGGTGGGTGCCTGTGGTCCCAGATACTCGAGAGAGTGAGGCAAGAGAGTCACCTAAGCCGAGGAGCTGGAGGTTGCTGTGAGCTGTGTGATGCCATGGCACTCTACCAAGGGTGACAAAGTAAGACTGTCTCTACCAAAAAAAAAAAAAAAGAGAGAGAGAGAGAGAGAAAATACTATAGGGAAAAACAAAACTTATTTTATAAAAACCGGTATTAACCACTGCATAATTGGCTTTTTAAAGCATTTTTGGAAAAAACCCAAACTGGAAAAGAATTGTGGCTTGATATAGAGTTTATTAGGCATTTCATAAATACTCCTTTAATGCAGTTGATAGAAGAAAACTATGGCAGTTACTAGAGACAACACAATATAACAGATTTACTAACTAAAAAAATGCTCACTCCGGGCTGGGCACGGTGGCTCATGCCTATAATCCTAACACTCTGTGGGAGGCTGAGGCAGTGGATAGCTTGAGCTCAAGGGCTCGAAATCAGCTTAAGCAAGAGCAAGACCCCGTCTCTAAAAATAGCTAGGCATTGTGGCAGGCCCCTGTAGTCCTAGCTACTTGGGAGGCTGAGGCAAGAGGATCATTTGAACCCAAGAGTTTGAGGTTGCTGTGAGCTGTGATATTACCACACTCTACACAGGGCAACAAAGTGAAACTGTCTCAAAAAAAAAAAAAAAAAAAGAAAAAAGAAAAAAAAGAACTCACTTTGGGTGTTGGACCCAGAAATCTGTTTTAACCAGGTGATTTTGTTGCAAGATTAATTTTGAGAACCAATATTACATATAGTATGATAAGAAATGATTTTTTTTCTTTTTTTTATTGAATGATAATTATGTACATTAATGCAATTCTGGGGTACAGTGTGGTGTTTTCACATACAATTCGAAACACTTCCATCAAACTGGTTAACATAGCCTTCATGTCATTTTCTTAGTTAGAAATGATCTTTTTGGTATTTCACATAGGATTAAAATCCACTATGGTATACTCTAAAGGGATACCTCAATGAAACTTAGAATCTAATGTTTTTCATGCTTTATTTTTAAAATTATTATGCCGTCACAGCTGCTTGAGATAGGTACATTTAAATGTCTGATTCTTATTAAAAATGTTCTTAAATCTACCAGAAATGTGGCCCAGAACATCACTCATTCTATTAGTACCACAGGCCCCCACATCCCTCCTTCTTCTCCACCAAATGCATGGTTTAAAAACAGGAATGGTGCAACATTTAATTTTCCTAAGATAATGGAAAAGGAGGGAATTTCTCACCTTCCACATGATTTATATTTGAACACATGTAGAAGTGTTAAAGATACATTTTTGACTAAAGGAAAAAGCTTTTGCTCCCCCCCCGCATCTGCCCAAATACATGAACTTTAAAACTTGAGTTTAAATTTAAACTTTAAAACTGATTTAATAAGTGTTTTGAAATAAAATATATGTTAAAGAGCAAGCTCACATCATCAGTGTCTTTAACTCGAAGAATCTGTTCTCTCAGATCTTGTAAGTCATTAAATGTGGACTGTGCTGTGATTGAATAAACTAATGCAAAGCCTTGTCCATTCTTCATGTACAAATCCCTCATTGCTGTAAATTGTTCCTATAAAAGGAATATTAAAAACAAGAAATGTTTTAGAATTAATTTAACCATTTTCAGAGTTTATAATGTTTATAGCTCACTGAAGAATACTATAGTATTACAGAACACTTCTTAAAAATACGGTCCATAGTCCATGGCAAGATATTATTTGAAAAAATTGGTATTTTAAGAAATAGATTTAAAAATAATACAAAGTAGATTTATTTACAATAAATATGTATACTCCAATGGAACAGAAAAATTGTTCCCAAAAGCTACTTGAAGGTAGTTTTTAAATCTATCATAATGTGTAAAGCACCCCAGCTGTCTCCTCAGGAGCCTGTCAGCTCACAGGCACAGCTCGGGGAGCAGCAGCACCTTACACACATCATGTCATTTTCTCTTCCTCCTCTGGACCATGAGCATTTGAGGGTAAGAACATAATGTCTGGCATATATCAGGTACTCAAATATTAGCTGAAGGAATACTACATACCCAGAATAAATCTCCTTTTCACCTTTAACAAATCTAGTCAGTTTATTAATACTCTGAAGGGGAAAATAATAAAAAAAACTTTACAGCTGCTAAGGAAAGAATGTATGCTCAAGTATTCTCCACACTATTTATATTGTTTCAAAAGTATCAGTGAGGTTGATACTTTTTCCAACAAATTTTCTAATTAATTTTTCATTAACTGACCCACTGCAATAGTAAAGGACAATATAAAAAAGGTAGAATTCAAGAGAATAAGAAAAATTCCTTTAAGATTTAATGCAAACTTCAATAAGCTTCCCTACTATTTGTTTATAGAGCACTAGCATTTACTGAGTTGCTATTATATAAATCACATATGCTTTGGTACTTTGCTTTACATACCGTTCCTGCAGTATCCAAGATTTCAAGCATACACTGTTGTGCATCTACTTCAACTTGCTGTAAGAAAAATTAAAATACGCTATCGTTTTTTATGTGCTTAAGATATCTTAATACATGCAAACATTAATATATTATAACAGGTATAGATTATAAAAATTTTACAAGCTATTATCAAGCCATACTTTAACAAAACAGGAGGAAAAACATCTAAGCAAGCAAAGTGTACATACTATGTGTACTATGCTCAAAAATCCCTGTTTTTTTTCTTTTTTGAGACAGAGCCTCAAGCGAGTCTCCTGCCTCCGCCTCCCAAGTAGCTGGGACCACAGGCGCCCGCCACAACGCCTGGCTATTTTTTGGTTGCAGCCGTCATTGTTGTTGGGCGGGTCCGGGCTGGGGATTCGAACCCGCCACTTTAGGTGTACGTGGCTGGCGCCTTAGCCGGTTGAGCTATAGGCGCCGAGCCAATCCCTGTGTTCTTGAGTCAATATAAGGACACCTATAAGATCCAGTCTCAATACGAATCACACAGCACTTATATCTGGAGAAGAAATAATTTCAACATTGCTGAAATAAATAAAACTAGTAATAGTTCTAATAATACCAGAAGTAATCTTGTTTATCTCAACTTTTCCATAATACTTTAGATAGATCATTTCTCTAGATAAGTGTATATTCCAGCACCATACTGGAACAAGATTTCTGGCAGCAAGGAAGCAGTGCCACAGCCATTAAATAAATTTTACACGTATCTCTGTTACCCTTTTTCACCTAATATTTCCTAGGGAAACAAGTTATTTAGAATTGAGTAAAAGATTACTATTGCCTCACAGCTGGGGTACAGGAAAGTATTTCCAGTTTTCTTGACAGAGGGTGGACAGGAGGGAGGAGTGGAAACAGTATCTGTATAACTAGGGTGACCAGATTTTAACATCAGTAAGGCGGGACAACATGGCCCGAGGGTGGGGCGGGGCAGGGCAGGGCCTGACAACAATGCAAACTTTGATAAGCAGTTCTCGATAATCACTTCTCAACGATTATTTGTTATCATTACAGTTTAACATAAAATTAACAAAAATAATATAAAACTCATATTCTGGCGAAATAGCCACATGGCAGCCGAAAACCGTATATTCCCTTTCTGTTCACCTGCCCGTTAGTGCATTCTTTCCAAAAATCGGGACTTTTTAAAAACGCCAAGGGATGTGGGACAAAAAGTGGGACATCTGGTCACCCTCTGTATAACTGAAGGGCTGGGAGGAGCGGAAACAGTTATCTGTACAACTGAAGGGCTGTACGTCAGGTGGGAAGCCAACTTTCTCCCTACTGCACGCTCTTTTACTGTCACACACTGTCAGAGGACATGGCAACTAAACTTTCTGCAGGGGAGGAGCCCTCATCTGAAAATCAGAAATCTGAAAGTGCTCCAAAATCTGAAGGCATTTGAGCTATATGTGGAATACAATGCCACACGTGGAAAATTCTACACCTAAGCTCATGTAACAGGTAGAAGTCAAAACGTAGTCAAAACTTTAAGCACAAAATTATTAAAAGTGTTGCATATAATTACCTTTAGACTGTGTGCATGCAGTATATATGAAACATAAATGGAATTCTATGTTTAGATTTGTGTTTCATCCCTAAGGTATCTCATTAGGTCTATGCAAATATTCCAAAAATTAAAAAAAAAAAAAATCCAAAATCTGAAATGCTTCTGGTTCCAAGAATTTCAGATAGGGGATTTTTTTTTTGCAGTTTTTGGCTGGGGCTGGGTTTGAACCCACCACCTCCCGCATGTGGGGCCAGTGTCCTACTCCTTTGAGCCACAGGCGCCCCAGATAGGGGATTTTTTAACCTGTATTGTAAACAGTGACACATTCTCTCTCTTTTTTTTTTCTTTTTGAGATGGAGCCTCAAGCTATCCCCCTGGGTAGAATGCCATGGCATCACGCTCACAGCAACCTCCAACTCCTGGGCTCAAGCGAGTCTCCTGCCTCAGTCTCCCAAGTAGCTGGAACTATAGGCGCCCGCCACAACGCCTGGCCATTTTTTGGTTGCAGCCATCATTGTTGTTTGGTGGGCCTGGGTTGGGGATTCGAACCCGCCACCTTAGGTGTATGTGGCTGGCGCCTTAGCCGCTTTAGCCACAGGCGCCGAGCCCAGTGACACATTCTCAAGGGGCTAATAGGAATTTTAGGAAGACTTTGTATGTCTATCTCTAGGCTAAAGAAGGGAGTTTGACATTAGTCTTTTAGGGGGAAGCATGAGGCTACCACATGAAATGAATGTTCTGCTTTAAAGTGTGCATGTCCATTGCAATATGAGGGTTTGGAGAAACAAAACTCTGTGAGTGTGTGAGTATTTACGATTTTTCCAAAACTAGTAAACATGCAATCTCAGACATGTTTTAAGTGTAAACACATAATTAAGTGTAAACTGTTCCCACTAATTAATTGAAAAGCTAAAAATCAAAAGAGAAAAGGCCTTCAAAAATACATACCTTTCTATAAGAATCTTCTATCGTAGGATCATATTTTTCAACAAAAATCCCTTGAACAAATTGTACAGTCTGAAAAAAATTAACACACCATTATACTTCTAAAGAAAAGAACAAATTCAAATTTGTACATTTTAAAGTACTTACTTCACATACGTCATTATGCCATTGATGAAAAAAATTACCAATACTACATGTGAATGTATATATTTGGTGAGAAAATTACCTCAGAAAACCTGTTTTTCTTTTCTTTTCTTGAGACAGAGTCTTACTATGTCGCCCTGAGTAGAGTGCCATGGCATCACAAGCTCACAGCAACCTCAAACTCCTGGGCTTAAGCACTCTCTTGCCTCAGCCCCCCAAGTAGCTGGGACTACAGGTGCCCACACAACATGTGGCTATTTTTTTGTTGTAGTTGTTTAGCAGGCCCAGGCCAGGTTTGAATCTACCTGCCTTGGTGTATGTGGCCGGTGCCCTAATGACTGAGCTAGGGGCACTGAGCCAGAAAGCCTATTTTTATTTAAAAAAAAAAAATTAATAGACACTACACTCCTTATTTAATTCTAAGTTGAGAGATCATTTATTCTAAAAATTTTAAGTATTTACTGTTCCAGTCTTCAGGGGTCAAAACTTGATTTTAACTAGATGGCACCCTAGTGGCTAGGTAAGACAGTTTGTCTCACTACAGAGAAAGTGAAGGTCAATCTGTTGTTATCTTCTGGTGGGGATTTGCTAAATGCAATGATTCATCAAGTTATTTTCCCTAAATGTCTCCCCTTCTGCTATCCCATTCCTTGATGCAGAAAACACAGCCATTTAGATAATGGAACACTGGACAGTCAAAGATAGTATTAAAAAAGAGATCTCATAAGCTTTGATATTTTCTAACATAAAATATATAGTAAAAGCTGACTCAGGAAGACCAAAATTCATTCCTATCTGGTTCTGAAATGCAGACACATATTCATTCATACACTCTCATTCTCTGTGCTTAGTCCAAACTATATTCTGGCATACCTCATGTCAGTCCAGAACCAATGTTGCAAGGAGATATAATTAAAAGTTAGGTGAAATTACAAGAAAAATATGGTATTGCTTCTAAAATCATTATGGGATTTCATTTTAACCAAGACAAATAATCAAAACCCAAACCTCAACAGAAAAAAAATGTTTTAGGGTAAAAAACTTAGGTATAGTAAGAACGACTTACCAGAGCAGACTTTCCAACACCTCCTGAGCCAAGAACGACTAGCTTATACTCACGCATGATGCAAATTTGTCAAAACTTAGTACCTTATTAGAGGGGGAAAAAAAAAAAATTCTAAGTAACGTCTCTGTGTTCATGTGCTTCTTCTATAAACAACACACTCAGGCAAGTAGATTTATTTAAAGTGACTGCTATACAACTCTAACATAGAACCCCCTGTAAATAGACTGGCTAAAGAATGCTCAGAGGTAAAAGTAAACTAGAGAATTACAGATGTGACTTTCAGCCCTATCCTAACTTCAAAAAGAATATTAACAAAAATTGGGGGGTTGAAAGACATCACAAAGGGTATTCTACTGGTCCTAAGATGACAGTGACAGACACACCTTCTCCTTTCTCAGAAACTACCCCCAAACAAGAACAGGAAACAAATACAAATATCCTAATGTACCATGTGGCACCATGAGCTGCAAGCAGCTGAATGATTACTGAGTGTAGGATATATGCCCAATGAACAAAACAGACAAAAATCTTCACCCTTAATTGAGCTCGTGTCCTAGAAAAACGAACAAGATAGGACAGGGCTATTAAAATACGTATGTGACCTATCAGCTTTTGTTACTTAAGTTTTACTGAAACACAGCCATACTCATTAACTCATCTATTGCCTATGCGTCCTCTGAACTCTAACAGCAATGCAGTTACAAGGGAGGCCATCTGGTCCACAAAGCCTAACTATTTACTCTCTGACCAACCCCTGGATAGACGAATGGCAAATGTAAACAGCTGGCAGAGGAAGGAAACGGAAGACCAAGTATCTATTCCTGAAATTGGGGGGAGGTAGAGATATAGAGACTGAAAATGGTCTGGATCAGACAGAACTGAAGAATATGAGTCCCAAGACTGAATAAGCCCAGTTCGTGTTAAATGTGATGAAATAGTAGAAAATAAAACGGAATAAAACCAAAAAGAAAAAACTCATACCAAGGCTTATGAAATTTCACTATAATGATATATACAAGGTCCAAAAGGTTTCCAGAGTAGTGGATTACAAGAGAATACAGTCCTAGAAAAAGCTATAAATGGTCAGTAGCCATGGTACAAAAGTAGTGACTGGATTTTAAACCTTCTTAAGAAATGACAGTTTTTAAGACAGTAACAACTGCTAGAATTGGTTTAAATGAATCTGATCAGCCAATAACAATTTGCTTCAGTGAATATGCTTTTGCAAATTAACCAATTAGTGATGGCCTCTTATTTTCGAAAGCTGACCAATTAAGAACTGGACTCACTTTAATGAACATATACATCTGAATGCCAACCAATCAACTGACTCACCTGAGTGAAAATGTTTCTATAGCTAAAGTAACTTCATTTCTGACATTAAAAATTTGCCAATCTTTGAACTTTTAATTTCCCCAAACTCTATAAAGCCAAGGGTTTGTTGTGTTCAGGGGAGGCTCAATCTGACCAAGACAGCTTTTTCTGTAAATCATCAGTAACTTCAGCGTCCTGGGTTTTCCAGATATTAAATGTTATTTCGCCATACTCTCACAATATCACCTACAACCTACATTTGGCATCATCCCAAGGAACTCTTAGACAAATGGGTATATTTTTCTTGTGTGTAATTTCTGTTTATTCTTTGAATTTGCTAACAAATCAATCAGTCTTTATGATGGCAGCACCAATTTGGTTTCTTGAGCTTCCACTGCTAAATTAAAATTGTTTTCTTTTTTGAGTCAGAATCGCACGCTGTGGCCCTGGGTAGAGTGCTGTGGTGTCACAGTGCATAGCAACCTCAAACTCTTGGGCTTAAGTGATTCTCTTGCCTCAGCCTCCCAAGTAGCTGGGACTACAGGTGCACGGCTAGTTTTCTTGTTGCAGTTGTCACTGTTGTTTAGCAGGCCCGGGCCGGATTGGAACCCTCCAGCCTTCATGTATGTGGCTGGTGACTTACCCACTGAGCTACATGTGCCGTCCTAAATTAATTTTGTTAACCTAGAATATGTAACCAAGCAGGTCTTTGTATAAGGTCCTTTGATTTGGATTTAAAGTTGTACTATTTGGTAAATATTTTTGCTATTAGTTTAATTCCTGAGCTACTTGCTTGGCTTTGTTCATTTATTTGTGGTAAGTTTTGCCAGAAGATGAACATTTAGATTGTTTCCAATTTGGAGATGTTATAAATAATGCTTATCAATTTGTGTTTTAATTTTAATAATTCAACTGAGGATTACTTAATACAAAGCCCAGTGATCAAAAGAAATTTAAGATATTTCAAATTTTGAAGTAGAGAAATATGATAAGGACATAATAAAGACTTTCCAACCATAAAATATAGTGACAAAATACATATGATGTACCAGTAAGAAACTTTGTAACAAGGAACACTAGTAAGAGAGCAATACAATTGAATCATTATCTTTCATTAATACTTCCTTACATAGACCGAACAACCAAAGTATCTTTATTCTGATAAATACCAATGCCATAGAGTATTTCTGTATCCTTAAAAAACAAAGAGGCTCAGCACCTGTGGCTCAAGTGGCTATAGGCACCAGCCACATACACCTAAGGTGGTGGGTTCGAATCCCCAGCCCGGGCCCGCCAAACAACAATGAGGGCCAGGCAACAAAAAAAATGGCCAGGCGTTGTGGCGGGCGCCTGTAGTCCCAGCTACTTGGGAGGCTGAGGCAGGAGACTCGCTTGAGCCCAGGAGTTAGAGGTTGCTGTGAGGGTGATGCCATGGCACTCTACCCAGGGGGACAGCTTGAGGCTTTGTCTAAAAAAAAAGCAAAAACTCCAATAGTACAATAGTCAAAATTTGAACCAGTATCTATTATTTTTCAAATCTGTGCTTTCTACTATATCAGCCTTGAAAAATTGTTTAAAGATTAAAGGACTAGAATAATAAATTTTACTGTGAATGCCAACTGTGACTGGCAATACCATTAGTAGTTGTTTTGAGGACCGTGTGGCTACATATAGTTTTAGCAGAAAAGGTAACTGTTCATTCAATTAGCAATGGCACTGGCTGTGTGTATGTATGTGGGAAGATGGGAGACAGTGGAGGCACCTGTGTACTTGAGTGCTCTGGGCATCATGATCTTCCCTGTTCAATGTTCTTAGCCTACAGCCTTGGTTTAGGTTAAGAACGAGCACTTCACTATTTAAGACACTGAGATTAATTAATTGTTCTTCTTCATAAAACCCCTAACAGGGAAAATTTTGATAACACAGCATGGTGGTTAATGGTACCTAAGTTTTGGATCCTGGTTTTGTATAATACTGGTTAATTCGTGAAATCTTTCAGAGTCTCACTTTCCTTCCAGGTAAAATGGAAATAGTAATAGTCACACTTTAAGGTTGTGAGATGGATGACAAAGCATGTAGGGATTTGTCTGTTTTATTTACTGTTATATTCCCAGAACCTGACACAGTGCCTGGAAAACAGTATTAACATGTGCTTGAAAAATTAAGGAAAGAAATTTATCAATTTTTTAAAGTGCCTTTAGTACTTTGCACATAGTAACTGTCAATAATAAGACAGCTTTTTAAATATAGAATCTCCATAGTTGGCCACCTCCTTAAGTTGACCCAATTTTCATGGACCAGACACCCATCCCATGTCCATACCAGTACAACAGGCCTAATTCCTGATGCTGACCAGTTTGTTACAGTCCCTTGGGTGGTCAACTGACAGAGGTTCTGCTATATTGTAACACTCAACGTCCTGAAGCACAACTGTGGTTCTCTTAGTTGAGAATCACTGTTCTACCTTTTCATTTACCAGATCAAAAAAGCATGTAAGAATGTAAATGAGGGACTGTCCAATTTCTTGTTTGATTTAAAACATTCTCTTCTAGGTGGGCAAAAAGGTATAAAAACTAGTTTCTAAATATACATAGGTCAGTAACTTCTCCACGTCAACACAAAAAACAAAAAGCTGAGCATACATCAGTAGTTTGAATTATTTAAAAATATAATTCAAAAACATAGACTGTGAAATAACTTTAGTATTTAAAAAAGATATTACTAAACAAGAATCCTACAATACTGGCATTATATCTGCCTCCCAATATTAACAAACTCCACTGTATCTGAAGTTACGCAGACTGTACTTTTGACAGCCTGGGGGAATTTCAACTCCTATTACAGATGAGGAGAATCAATTACATTTCTAAAGAAAACTATTCAAACACTACAAATTCCACTACTGTTAAAACTTGAAGGATTTTCTACACTAATTTTTCAAAAGCATAAATATTTCTGCTATTTATCTTTGAATAAAAAGTTTAGTGTAATATCACTTACATTTAAAGATTCCTCATTTACAGGCATGGGGCTCATGTCTGTAATCTTAGCATTCTGGGAGTCTGAGGCAGGTAGACTGCCTGAGCTCACAGGTTCGAGACCAGCCTGAGCCAGAGTGAGATCTCATCTCTAAAAAAATAGCCGGGTATTATGGCAGCTGCCTGTAGTCCCAGCTATTTGATAGGCTGAGGCAAGAGAATCACTTGAGCCCTAGAATTTGAGGTTGTTATGAACTATGATGCCATGGCATTCTATTAAGGGCAACAAAATCAGACTCTGTCTCAGAAACAAAACAAAACAAAAAGATTCCTCATTTAAATTACTTATGTAGATCTAAATTTGTGCGATTACAACCAACCTGATCAATGAAAAGCAACTGACAGCTCTCAATATATTGCTATTTCTTGCAAGATACCTGGATACCCACTTTTATTTGTTTAAAAGTTTACTTATTACTTTTACAACCTCCTGTAGCTTTGCTTACATTGGTTCTTTTGATCAATTTAAGAAGTTAATTTTAGTTCCAGAGTAAACCATAGCAAAGACATGGAAAGACAAAACAAAGCCTCCTGGGGCTCCTTACAAAGTCAGGTTTCAGGCTCGGCGCCTATAGCTCAACTGGCTAAGGCGCCAGCCACGTACACCTAAGGTGGCGGGTTTAAATCCCCAGCCCGGACCCGCCAAACAACGACGGCTGCAACCAAAAAATAGCCGGGTGTTGCGGCAGGTGCCTGTAGTCCCAGCTACTTGGGAGGCGGAGGCAGGAGACTCGCTTGAGCCCAGGAGTTGGAGGTTGCTGTGAGCTGTAATGCCACGGCACTCTACCCAGGGGGACAGCTTGAGGCTCTGTCTCAAAAAAACAAAACAAAACAAAACAAAGTCAGGTTTCAGTGGCTGTTTCATAAATGCTTGAAATGAAAAGTGATAGGAAAACAGACAACAATTATACTCCAAGTTCAGTAAATTTATTTTAGATAGTATTTCATCAGTCAGATATTAACTGGTATTTCCACAAAACTACAAAACAATAATGAATGCTATTATTATGAGGTAGTACAGAACCCTAAAGATTAATGAATCAAAGAAAATAAAAATTTATTAATGTTTCAGTCTAAATATGTGCAAAATAGTAAAGGACACATCCAAATGCAAACAACTGATTTAATTACCCACCATTCTGGATTGCCTAGAATATTCTTCATTAATAAGACCTAAATAAGAGGGCGGCACTTGTGGCTTAGTGGGTAGGGCGCTGGCCCCATATACCGAGGGTTGCGGGTTCAAACCTGGCCCCTGCCAAACTGCAACAAAAAAATAGCTGGGTTTTGTGGCAGGGACCTGTAGTCTCAGCTACTCAGGAGGCTAAGGCAAGAGAATTGCCTAAGGCCAGGAGCTGGAGGTTGCTGTGAGCTGTGACACCATAGCACTATACTCAAGATGATAAAATGAGACTCTTGTCTCTAAAAAAAAAAAAGGACTTCAATAAGACTCAAATATAGGTATCACTCATCCCAATTATGAACCAAGAACAATTCTAAAAATTGAGAATTAAAAGGCATTACAATGATAAACATATGTATTTAACAACAACAATTCTTGCCTATTTAATGTTGACATTTACTGAGGCCATGCTCTGTTCTGAGAACTATACTAGAATCTGATAATCAGAAAACAAAATCTAAGAAATGACAACTTCCACCAAGACTTCTATAAATATATACTGAGTCAGGCACTATTCTGGACAGTGGGCAGTGGGAATAGAGCAGTGGATAAAGACTGTCCTTAGAATTTATAATCTAGAAGTGGAAAACAAAATCAATATAAAATGTGTCAGGTATGACGAGCAGTATAAAGGAAAAAATAAAGCAAATTAAAGGAGGTGGAGTAACACATGGATTGTTTTACAGGGGTGGTTATGAAGGACTTCTGTTACTAAGGTGAAAGCACTAGTATAGTTCAGTAGCCAAAGAGGCCTGTCAATGGACTGATATTAAATCCTGTTTTCAACAGAAGACTTTACCACTGGGCTTTGCTCTGCTGAGCATTTTAAAATCATCTTTGGTGGGGTAACATGTCAATTAATTTGTGGCTGAAGTTAAATTTAGATTTGGCAATTGGAGACTTATCTAGGACCCACTGGAAAACTTGTGGCTTGGATGCCCCTCCTTCTTCCTCTGCAAATAGGGATATAAATGGGACTTCCAAAGGAGTTTATGTAGTGGGTATAGTACTATTTTTCTTTTCTTTTTTTTTTTTTT